GAAAAATTACTTTCTCATTTCATAAGCCTCCTAGAAAATTGGACAGGGATGTTTTGAGAATAAAGGGAAAGCAGAGCCTTGGGAGAGATGTGAAGAACTAGCAGGGTCCTGCAGCTGAGTAACAACTATATGTTAAATACCTTTTGTGCAATGAAAGTATCAAAATTAGGGATGTCAGGATGCAAGTGATGCTCAGAAAAACATTTGCACAGCTCTTTACAGTTAAAAGAAACTCACCTATCTGATCTATTGTAGCAGGTAACCATCATAATATCCTATGTAAATAAAAAAATAAAAACTTATGGAGACCAGTGGCTCTTAGCTGGGGGTGGATGTGTCCAGAGAATATTTGGGAGATATTTTTGATTGTCATGATTCGAGAGGACAGGCATAGCCAATGAAGTACAGGGGTCCCTGTGACAAAGACTTCTCCGGTCCAAAACATCAGTATTGCTGAGGTCGAGAAACCTTGTCTTGGAGCATAAGTATTTTGGTCAGGTCATATACCTAGCAAGTATCAGGGTCAAAGCTAGAATTCAGGTCATCTGATGACAAATCCTTTATTTTTTTCCTTATTTATATCCTTTGGCATTATACAGTATGCAGTGCGATGCAAGCCTTTTAGATCTGGAGAATTTAAAAAGTATAAATTATTAGTAGCCCTTTAGTGCTTCCCAGGCAGGGAGGAGCCTGGTGGGCTGCCGTCTATGGGGTCACACAGAGTCGGACATGACTGAAGCGACGCAGCAGCGGCAGACACTCATGTGGTGCATTTTATGTGCCATGTACTGTTCTGAGCATTACATATCTTTATAGCAAACCATGAATATAGTTACTTTTATTATTCTGTTACCTCAAATAAAAAATTTAGGTTCAGAAGAACTAATTTACCCAAAGTCACACAGCTCATAACTGGTACAAGCCTGATTTGAGTCTAGACAACTTAGTTCCAGAACATATGTTTTTATTCACTACACTGCATTGCTCACATAAGGAAATGGTTGAATTTCCCAAAAGAGCAGTTCTCCCAATTTCATATTGAACCTGCAATTGGATTATCCCTAGGAAGAATGAGCAGTCCCAGAAGTATGATGAGATTTAATGACAGGTACTAAAACTTACAAGTTCTACAAATTCCCCCCCTCCCTGACCTTCTCCATTGTCTGGAACTCTAGCATTGGAGGCTTAGGTTTCTACTCAACTCTTTGTGGAGAACAATGGAAAGATTAAAATTAAACTGGTGTCAGGAGATGAACTCTTAAAGATGGACAGTACTGTTCTTTGAAAAATTACTTTCTCATTTCATAAGCCTCCTAGAAAATTGGACAGGGATGTTTTGAGAATAAAGGGAAAGCAGAGCCTTGGGAGAGATGTGAAGAACTAGCAGGGTCCTGCAGCTGAGTAACAACTATATGTTAAATACCTTTTGTGCAATGAAAGTATCAAAATTAGGGATGTCAGGATGCAAGTGATGCTCAGAAAAACATTTGCACAGCTCTTTACAGTTAAAAGAAACTCACCTATCTGATCTATTGTAGCAGGTAACCATCATAATATCCTATGTAAATAAAAAAATAAAAACTTATGGAGACCAGTGGCTCTTAGCTGGGGGTGGATGTGTCCAGAGAATATTTGGGAGATATTTTTGATTGTCATGATTCGAGAGGACAGGCATAGCCAATGAAGTACAGGGGTCCCTGTGACAAAGACTTCTCCGGTCCAAAACATCAGTATTGCTGAGGTCGAGAAACCTTGTCTTGGAGCATAAGTATTTTGGTCAGGTCATATACCTAGCAAGTATCAGGGTCAAAGCTAGAATTCAGGTCATCTGATGACAAATCCTTTATTTTTTTCCTTATTTATATCCTTTGGCATTATACAGTATGCAGTGCGATGCAAGCCTTTTAGATCTGGAGAATTTAAAAAGTATAAATTATTAGTAGCCCTTTAGTGCTTCCCAGGCAGGGGGGAGCCTGGTGGGCTGCCGTCTATGGGGTCACACAGAGTCGGACATGACTGAAGCGGCGCAGCAGCGGCAGTGCTTCGGAAGAGTCAGATCACCCCTCAGAGTGTTTAATACACCCTATGCCTATGGAGGAGAAGGCAGTGATAGATGATGGTTGGAAGACATCACCAACTCAATGGACATGAGTTCACACGAACTCCAAGGAGATGGTGAAGAACGGGAAGCCTGGTGTGCGGCAGCCCATGGGGTGGCAAAGAGCTGAACACAGCTTAGAGGCTGAACCACAGCAAAGGCCTGTGTTACTTCATGGAAGATGAGTCCACATCCAAAACACAAATGTCACCTTCTTTATTGAGTTCTCGCATGCCTGCATCTCACAGTTTCCAGCCAGTTATTTTGTAAATGGGAACATGATTAATTCCTTTAATGCTATTTTTGTGCTTATCAAGGTAATTAGGATTTAATCACCACTCTATTTTTGTGAGTATTTACATCTGCTCTTTGGCTAATAGGGTATCATGTGTTTTTTATTGAGCAAACTGTTATGTGTGTATCTATGGTGTAAGTGAACAAAGGGCCTTCTTGTCTGTATCCTGTACATTGATTTGGGATGACCCAGGTTATGTGTACACTGACTTCAGATTGTCTGCTGTGACAGTGGGGTGCACGAAGCAGGCTGATTTAATTACTATTTTAAGTGTATTAAGATAACTGTGTTCCATTTTCCCCATCTGTACCAATTATTAAATAACAGAACAATTTTAAAGATAAAAGAGAATTACTTTTTTTATTATCCCTAATAAATACCAAGGATCTCTCTGACCCTCTTACATAATTTTCGCTGCCATCCTATAAGACTGGTATTATGAGCTCTATTTTATAGATGAGGATGCTAAAACTTAAAAAGTTAAGCAAATTGCCTCGCATCACATAGCCAAAGCTGACAGATCTGGAATTTGAATAGCCATCCTCTGATGCCAGCATCCTTGGTAGAGTTCTCAAACCTTCACTCCATGTCCTCAGCCTGAATCTTAGAACCTGGAATGGGTCATCAAGAAGGTGGTCACCTCTCCATTCCTAAGCACCTTCATGAAAAATGTACCACATTTGCAACCCAGTGTAACTAAATCTTCTCATGATTTTAAAATGTTTAGCCAAAAGTTCTGTTAAATAAAGCTGTGTTCATCCTAGTTCTTTTCTGAAGGACTCTGTTAAGGCTGGTACTAGTTCCAAGTGCTTTAACCATTCTGAATTCCAATAACATAGTATTGATTTTACTCTTTTTTTTTTTTGCATTTTGTACACAAATGTTTGTTTCTCTGTTACATATTCTCTTCAAACACAAGCAATGAATTCTAAATCATCATAAAGATGAATGAAAAATGAAAGCCCTCCAGTATAGTGCCCATAATCACTGAGTACTTGGTTATTGCTGGTGTTTACTGTTTAACACCAGAAACAAATACAGCTTATTTGAAAATCATGCTACTGGACTTTTAGCTCTTCCTCTGTGACCAGTTCACTCAATCACTTAAGAGATGCTTACAGGGCATCTATTATATACTAGATCCAGGAGATTAAGTCCTAAAACAGAGTCCTTGCATTCAAGGAAGCTAATGTTCCATCTGATAGGAGAGTTAATAGGTAAAGAAAACTTCTAGATTGAATTGAATGGGAAGAAATAAAGTGGCTGCAGAAGCGAGATTAACAGGAAAAGGGAAATCCATTTTAGAAATGTCAGCCAGGGAAGGTCTATAAGGAACAACTATCCACAAGTTGAGGTCCCAAGAGTGTGAAGGTGATAGCTGTGTCCTGATGTCGAGGCAGACAGAAGAGCAAATATTACAGAAAAGTCCTGAGGCAGGAAGGGGGTCAGATACTTTAGGAACTTGCAGGAGACCTGTGTGTCTAGACCTCACTGAAGGGTAGAAAGATTAAGATGAAATGAGAAGGGCAAAGTCAGGAGAAGGGCAAGGGCCAGATTCCTCAGGCCAGATAGGTTCTGGGAAAGAATTTGTTCTGAGTGCAAAGTGGAGCTGAAGAAGGATCTGTAAGCCTGAGGGGTGACGTAATCTGTATTTTAAAAGATCACCTGGCCACTGACTGAAGGATGCTTGAGAGGCAGGAGTAGAAATAGCCAGATCATTTAAGAGGCTGTTGTGGTAGCTTGGTTGAGAAAGCGGGAGCCAAGGAGATAGATAGGAGCGGGTAGATTTGAAAGATGCAGTAAATATTCAGCAGACATTTACCTTGAATAAGCCATCTGTGTACATTTCTTATTTCTCCAACTATCCTCTAAGCCAGGCTGTATGTCTTGTTCATCTGCATACCCTTCCCTTCTGCTATAATCATGTTGAAAACAGGCTTCCCTCCAGTCCCCCTGTTCCAGTTTTGTGTCTGTCAATGGAAGTGCTTCCTTCCCACCTGGTGGTAGATATTTGTCCCTAATTGCGGGCCCTGAGATGCGCCATCCACATTTGCTATTCTGCCAAAGTCATACCATGTTGTGGAATATTTTAATTTTTTTGAGTTCAGCTCTTGCATGTCATTAAAAATGCATTGTCTGACATATTTCAGGAAGAAATAAGCTTAATAGTAACTCATTTAATTTAAGCCTCTCGAGAAGGAAGAAAACATTTTCAATGCAAATGCATAAAGTGGCCCATCAAGGATTTTTCTTTCTTATTCTTCAGCAGTTTAATGATGAATGGTAATCTACAATAAGCTTTACTTTTGGATAATGTGGTTATAGCTGCCAAAGAGAGAGAATGGTTACATCCTGTCTCGTATTTCTAGCAGTTATCCCAACAGAACGTTGAAACCATATTAGCAATTAAAGTAATGTAATTACTAAATAAATCACACATCCTAATTATATTTATCTGTATGTTGGTAAATATCATAAATAAAGATGAGGCTGTCAAGTGATGTAACCATGATTTAATAGTTTGAAAATGACAGGATGATAGAAATATTTTCCAGTTGGTCATATGGAGTAAACTTACCATTTGGGGTTTATCTGCTTTAATTTCAGAATTACCATTTCTGAAGATGGAAGCCTCAGAATCATCAATGTGACTAAATCAGATGCTGGAAGTTACACCTGCATAGCCACTAACCATTTTGGAACTGCGAGCAGTACTGGAAACCTTGTGGTGAAAGGTAATGACTAACCCAGAGAACACGTAGATTGATATATGTGTCGCCATTTCAAATAATGTAACCTGTTGAAGTGGCATCCTTCATATTAATATGTACAGATATCACTGTGTTGCTAAATTAATCCATCAAGGCAAACATGGTATGATTAACAATTCTTAGAGAACTGTCGGTCATGAATATGACAGAAAGGCTATCTTAGTTTGGAATCATCCAATACAATTTTGAGAATCACTGCCATTGTATCTATTATAGTATTCTAACTAATGTTATCTTCAGTCCTTTAATTAAATTTCTTCAAGTCTCTATAGATTTGAAATTCATATCTAGGAATACCATGCTAACAAATTAAAAACCCGTGGCTCAAATACTATTTTTAGCTAACATTGTTTAAACAATGACATTGGAGATTTTTTAAAGAGCTGCCTTGGTTATTCAGAGGCGTGGATATGGATTATTGTACTCATAAAGGGCTTTGGCCACCTCTACGCTTTGCTTAGTCACCCAGCCAACCCTGCCAGTTTTTAAGGAAATAAAATTGTCCACATTCCTTCTCCTGGGTGCTTTATAGTAGATGACAGAACACCAGTTTGATGGGATGTGCTGAAAGTACCAAGTAAGAATTGTGAAGATGAGGTTTTAATTTACATTTCATTTGCATTTCTGTCACCTTATATCTGGCTGCCAAGTCAAAGAATTTTTGAATTGAAAGGATCTTGGCCATGATCTGACTGAGGAAGATAAAGCTCAGGTTGGCGAGTTTCTCAAGGTCACCAATAGCAGATGTGAACCCTGCAATCCTGATTTTGCACTTTCTGGTTCTTTCTACTGTGCCAGGATATCTTCTTATTTTTCTTGTTTCTCCATAATAGATATAGACAGTGTATTTATTATTTCCCCCTTGCCCATTTGTAACTCCCTCTGTGAAATAAGATAACCTAAGGCAAAGAAAAATATCCCAGAAAGAATATTTGCCTCTATTTTAACAAAGAAAGCTAAAAATTATCTAATTACATATTTTGGAATCATTAGAAATTTGAAAAGTACTGTCATTTAGGGAAGCCTTTTTATCATAAACATACTTATCTATGTAGATAGAAAACTGTAAGTCCAAGAGTCAGACAGAAATCTGTATTTATATTGACTCCAGCTATTTCAATCTATTAATTATTCACTCAGAGCAGTAGCATGGGTATGTGATTGACTGTGTGTTCACCCTGTTTTATAGGGCAAAGAAAAAAAGTTTAGATAATACTGGCATAGCAAAATTTCAGCTAGCATCTTCGCTCATGTATAGCTTTCTCAATTACAAAAGGAAAATTAGGGATGAACTAGAACCAGGAGGAGCCCCAAGGGTTCAGAATTGATCAATAACATAGCTAAGCCCTGATAGCTATGAAGTAAGATAGCCTAAGGCACACAAAAATATCCCAGAAAGAATGTTTGCCTCTATTTTAATTTAATGAAGAAAGCTAAAAATTACCTAATTACATATTTTGGAATCATTAGAAGTTTGAAAAGTACTGCCATTTAGAGAAGCCTGTTTATCATAAACATACTTGTTTGTGCAGATAGAAAACTGTAAGTCCAAGAGTCAGACATAAGTCTATATTTACCTAAGCACAGGTGCCATATATATGCTCTATATATTGTTAAAACTGGGGTTTTTTTTCACATAAGTTATGCCTTGCGTTCAGTTAGCATCCTTCCTATAAGCCTTGACTTCTTCAGCTCTCAAAATAGTTGGCAGAAGTTCCTCTCTTTCCCATCAGAGTTTGTCTTCTAGCAGTACCGCCAGTCCCCAGGTAAAACCATTCACAGGCGTGCAGAGACTTCCCTGCTGCTCCGCTTATACTGAATTGTGGTGCAAAGCTTAGCGATACACCAATGATACGCTATGATCACCTCCTTATTTGGGTGGATATAAATGTTGCTGCATAGTAACTTCTACCTATGTTAAGAAACTTAACACTTCATTTCTTGCCTTCCAGTTAACATGTTAAACAGTGATTTCCCCATGTATGGTATAAAAGATCATTTTAGACAATTCAGAGTTAATTTTTTTTTGTTTACTTTTACTAACTATATATATCTTTCCACATGTATTAGGAAAATGTTAGTTTTTCATTAATGGCAATGATTTTTTAAAAACTCCTTTTAAAATATATTTATATTTCTAAAGAAATATTGTTTGTATTATTATAAAAGGATGTGCAGAAGGTTGTGAAGGTGGTACACAAAGATTGGAAGGTGTGATTAATGCCAGTTTTCCATTTCCATTCCAAAGCATAAGAGTTTAGTGGACTTGAAGGGAAAGGATATAAAGGGACATGTAACAGGGTCGGTACAGACCTGCCTGTGCTGGAGACATGTTATGCTGAGGCATATGAGCACCGAGATCGTGTAATAGATGGGGAAGGAGGGAGGACGGGTCCAAAAGAACTCAGGGGCCTGTGGAAGGAGGAGAGCAGAGATCTGTAGGCAGAAAGTGTGCGGTCAAAGTAGTATGTTCCCCACCTGATTGTGGGCGAATTCGTTTGTTTCAAAGCAGAATTCTTTCCGGGCTTGGCAGTGGGTATTCAACTATAGTCACTTTCTTCAGAGAGGCTGTCTAATTTTTTGGTTTGTTTTGTTTTGTTAAGTATTGTTTATTTATTTTTGGCTGTACGGGGTCTTCATGGCAGCGCAGGCTTTCTCTCGCTGCAGCGAGCGGGGGCTGTTCTTTCCCCGCACACTGGCGTCTCATCGCGGTGGCCTCTCCCGCCGTGGAGCACCGGCTCCAGGCACGGGAGCTCAGGAGGTGCAGGTGGAGAGCTCAGCAGTTGTGCCTCGTGGATTTAGTCGCTCCTAGGCATGTGGAATCTTCCCGCACCAGGGATCTAAGCCATGTCCCCCACACTGGCGGGAGGATCCTCAACCACTGTACCACCAGGGAAGTCCCCTCTGATTCTTATTTTCTCCCAGGTGAGATGGGGAAAAAAAGAAAATGAGCTTTATTTGGTAAATATGCTCACAGGAGTTAACCCTGTGGCTTGGGTAAGGTCAGATGTTTCAGAGTATATTTATTTCCTGTTGCTTGATTCTGAGTACCATTTACATTAATGGGAAGTATGTGCGCGCGCGCGCGTGTGTGTGTGCGCGCGGGCTCGCGCAGAGGGTCACCCAGACTGCCAGGTCGCCAAGAAGGACATTAACATAAACGGAGAAATACAATTTAGAAATCTGCCTCATAAAGCACGATAAAGGCAGAGAAAATGTTCTGAACTCCACATGAACTGTGCCAGGTCTTGAATCGCACATCAAAATGCTTGAGCCCTACACCTTTAATGTAAATGTAGCAAAATAGCCGGAAATGTGATGGAGCGCTGTATCTTAATTCAATTTAGAGATCCACAAAGGGACTAATTTATCAGAGAAGTTATGCTGTAACCTTAAAATGTGCTTATATTCGTTTTGATCTCCTCCAGTGTCTGGGATTAAAACACTATGAAGGTCAGGCATCAGACAACATCTTCTCTAACCTTTTTGCAGTATTTCTGTCATTAGCAATGCTTTTAAGATCCAATTCTCTTCCATCCCCCTACACCAGGTTTTTTGAGAGAAGCTGAAGATACTGTCAAACATAGGGACAGTAAGTAAAGCCGGCAGGGGAGAGGGGGAGAAGAGAATAGATCCACTACAGCAGGTACAGCAGGTTTAAAATAAATCTCTAGCAGACGACCACAAAATGGATAATATTCAGATTATGCATGAGCGGGCTTCCAAACTGCAGAATTCTGACAGGTGCCCAGGGGGCTCTTGATTATCATCCCATCATCTGAATTTCTAAATTTGACTTTTTTTTTTTTTTAAGCTAGTTAGCGTCTATTTGGAATTTTGATTCGCTGTATTATTTTAAGCAAGAACGGTTCTCAAGTCAGACCCCTGAATCTTAACAGAAAGCGTCATATTTGACCTTTCATGGAAGGTGTGCTTTAGCGATTGTGAACATCATTAAGAACTAGATGGAAGGCAGGCTACATTTCCATACAGTACTGTACTTACTAATTCATTTTTATCTCTAGAACAGAGTTAAAGACATGTCTTTTAACTCACATGCATGAGGCAGTGTCTTTATTGTACAGGCTTCCTATGACAGGTATTTTTAAGTAGCAATTCTCAAGAAGAGTGACTTCTCTTTGTCTTGGATATAGTTCAGCAAGATAACTATGGTAATAGCTACCCTAGATCTTATTGATCACCTCCCAGGCTCAAAATGAAATGCAGGGCTGTAAGCTGTGCTGTTATCTAGCTGAACTACATCCAAAGTGACCTTGAGTAACTAACTCTCTGGCTGGTGGTTCCAGAGCATACTTTGAGGAGCCCTGAAAGTGAAAGAAAGTGAAAGTGTTAGTCACTTAGTCATGTCCAACTCTTTGTGACTCCATAGATTGTAGCCGCCATGCTCCTCTGTTTGTGGAGTTCTCAGGCAAGCTGCTGGAGTGGGTTGCCTTTCCCTTCACCGGGGATGTTCCCAATCCAGGGATTGAAACCAGGTCTCCTGCATTGCAGGCAGATTCTTTACCATCTAACGCTCTATCCTACATCAAAGAACTTTGAACATGCTACCAACTAAGTGAAAGGTCAGTGGAATGCTTAATAGAAATGCATGTCCCTACTGCCCCACCCCTAACCTAACAAATCTAAATCTTTGCGGATGAGATGTGAAAACCGTGCATTTTTAATAAACACCCCACTTGATCCTCATACACCAGAGTCTGAAAAAGACTGAATTTTCAGTCACTGGCAAACTATGGCCTATGGGCCAAATTCAGCTAACCATCTATTTTTGTGTAACCCAGTAGCTAAGAATGGCTTCCATGTGTTTTGCTGGTTGAAAAGAAATCGAAAGAATAATAATAGTTTCAGATATGTGGAAATTTTTATGAAGTGTGCATAAATCAGATTTTAGTGAGATATAGCCATGTCATTTGTTTACATTATTGATGATGGTTGTGTCTGTA